CAGGTTCCACGCATTTAGGTCTTCTACCAATTTGATTAGATCATTCGGAATAGGTTGTCTGGCCTCTTTGCCTAAAAAGCCGGCATGCAAAAGTATTAGAAGGCATACTCGGACAACATCGACGTCATCCATCCAAGTAAAACCATCTTTCTTATTCAATAATATCGTCAGGTCTTCCACATGTAGATTCGGCCTCTCCAGCTCAGGAAAAACCCGGGATAACCATGATGGGCGGGTAATGTGTCTAGTGTACCGACCTACATCATCGTGTCCGAAGCGTAGACCGGTGATTAAGCAAAACTCCTCCCGCCCAAAACACGTATACGCCGGTGGAAAATCAAACCATATCTCTTCATCACGACGTTGTATAGTATCTGGTAGATCCCTAGTCATGGTTTGAAGAAACAGGTGTGTCAACATCGCATCTCCACCGGGATGTTGTACTTTCAGCCATGGCCCGAAGCAAGTATCCTCAAACATTTTTCTTTGTGCAGGTGAAAGCTTCGACGCAATTGTTTTGGCCAGGCTGACTTTATTTCTTAAGGTCAATTGAGCCGAATAAAAGTTCTACAAAAACAATAAACATACTAAGTTAGATATACCAAAAACTACACTGTGAAGATATACCAAAAACAATAATAAACATAAAGAGTAGTAGTTTATTCTTCAAACTTAAATTTGCAACACTGTGAATTTCTTATTTGTCTTTGTTTTTTGGTTGAAGTAATGCAATTCATTCAAGTTTCAATTTGCAGAAGAAGAATAGTTTCTGAAAATGAAAATCGCAACACAGAAATGACAATCGCAACGCGAATTTGACTATCGCAACGAGAGAATAAAATCGCGTTGCGATTCTCGGTTGATTTAATAAACAATCTAAGTGAAATGGTTAATCTATTATTGAAATCACCAGTAAACTTATCATCAATTTCAATATGAAAAACCTAATAATAATGCAAAAATTTCAAAAAGAAAATAATTAAAAAAACTAACCCTCAGTGGTTGATTTGATTGATTTTCCATTTTTGATTGTGAGGGTGGCTCTGAGAGATGGAGATAGACAGATTTCACCGGAGATGGGGACGGATTTCGTTGGAGATAGGTGAGAGAGTGAGAGATGGAGATGGACTGAGTTGTGATTTTAGGTTTTAGGTTATGAGTTGCGATTACGGGATATACTGTGGACGGTTCAGTATTCCAATATATTAATATTCGTGTTTGGAATTTGAAAAATAAAATACGCTTTGCGATACTAATGGCGCTTTGAAAATCGCATTGCGATTATGTATTATCTTTTTGCGAAAGTCAGTATTACGTTGCGAAATTAAGTATCGAGTTGCGAAAGTCAGTATCGCGTTGCGATTTTGTATTATCGCGTTACGATAGTCAGTATCGCGTTGCGATTTTCTAAATTCGCATTGCGATTTTCCAAATTCGCATTGCGATTTGGGAAAATCGCAACGCGAAATTAGAAAATCGCATTGCGATAGTCATAATCGTGTTGCGAATCTGGAAACTGATTTGCGATAATGGAGATCGCGTTGCGAATTAGCGATCGCATTGCGATTTTGTTGGTCATTTTGGCAAATCCGAAAAAAGTTGATTAAAATTGTATATTATATGAAATTTTTGGTCACTGAGATATTTTCTCTTAAAAAAATACCAAGAACACCAGGTGGGTCATTATTGAACCGACCTAAATGGGCCAAAAATCCAAGCGTGAGGAGGAGATGAAAGCGGTGGAACCAACCAAACCACCATCGTAACCTAACCGTAGTTAAGTCCCTTCCTTTTTTTTCTTCACTAACGACGTTAAAAGACGGAAAACAAGCCAGTAGTCAGCCACGTGTTGGAACCAGAGAGCGCCAAGATATTAGAGCCTGTTCTCTGAGCCAGACACGAGGACTCACATTATCGTACCTCGTGTAATGAACAAACAAAGATGGACCCCACACGCATTGAATGCTATTGGTGCAATACTTTCCTCATAAAATAAATGGATGTCTCCTCTTTTTATATACATAACGCAAATATGCTACTCGTGAAACCTCAAAACTAAATGCCAAATATTGTTCATTATTTTTAATATATTAATTATCATTAATAGGCCTAATCTTTAAAATTAGTAAATGAATCACAAATATCGTTTGTATTAAGTATAAAATATTAAACTTTTAAGGTAAATATCAAGAGTTGAATCTACATAAAATAAAATAATATAAATATTTTTAATTATTCAATCAATTAATAAATTTCAGTGAATCATAAATATTTCAATAAAAATGTAAAATATATATTTAAAAATAAAAATGAAAATAAACTGGTTTCAATAACTATATTCAACTTATTTACGTACTTCGAGAAAAAAAACATCTAAGAAAAGATCACAAATAGACTTGAGATAGGGAAGTTTTGGGGAAAACGACTTTCATGTATTTAACCCTTAAATAAACGGAAAGCATTAAATGTCTAATCCTAATTCTAGTCCTCTATTATGCAAAATCTGAAATTTAACATCTTTACATAATTTGAAATCTCAACTTTTATAATATTATTTATAGGTTTAAACTATTAATATGATTAAATGATGTCAGAATGAGATGAAGTTGTAACTGTTGAAGGTTCATGATGTTTTGATGTGTTGTTTTAATGGTGTGTTTTTGTGTGCGATATTTATTGTAGAATTTTCCATGTTGTATAATCTAAAATCATATGAAAATAAAATCAATCATATTACACAAATAGTGAATTTATATAAAAATTTATTTTTTGAGATTTTATTATATTGTTAATTTGAATCTACATTGTCAGAATGATAATGTTTTTAGCAATAGAAAAATGATTTTTCACCCACAAGTAACATCAAACCCTTAAAAATTAATTTAAAATTATGATTGAAAAATGATTTTCAATCTAATCAAAAATTCAAATTTCTAACTTTTGTTGCAAAAAAATCACTTTTGGAGTGAAATTATATTTTTATCCTAAATTATTTAATTTTAATTTATAACATAATATTTAAATGAACATTTTATCTTTCTAAAATCATTTTAATAGTAATCTCAAACAATTAAATTTTAAACTATATTTTCTAAAATATTTTTAAAAATACTTTTTACATTACCTTTTAAAATCATTTTTCAAAAAAAATTAAACTTGCCAAATAACATTGTAAGAATAGAGGTACAAAAATATATTAAATTAAAATAGAAAAAAATTAAATCTCGAATAGTTTACATAGTAAAGGGACCAAGCTATAATTAGGCCTAAAAAATATTTCTCCATACAAAGAAAGAAGAAAGCTCTCGAAAATCAAGCTAATTAGTAATTACGGAAATCATAATATTAAATTAATTCGTATTTTGGCGTTAATTAATTAGTATCAGTACCAAAACACTGTTGAGAACCGCAGCAAATTTGGCCACTAAAATTGAGGCAGTTGAGAACGGACACCTTCCATTTTCTTTTAAACGCTGGGCCCACTGTGACACTACCCGTCTTCGCCGTTAATGCTATAAGTATGGCAACGAGGAGAGCCTCTTCTCAAAACCCTCTATTCTAAAAATTTTAGATTCTCAGGTTCTTCTTTTATGCTCTTTTGATCTTTTGCTTAATCTTCGTAGTAACGAACCTGCTTAGATTCTACGTTCTTCACGTTTGTTCTCTTTTAAAGCTCTTCGTGATCTTTGAGGTATTTTCCTCAATATTCACATTCGTACTTTTCAATTTTCTTTACATTTTTGAATGATTTTGCATTCTGTAAGTTTTATTTTACATGATTTTGAGTGTTTTTCATTCTGAACTTTTGTTCCTGTTAATTTTGAAGTCCTTCCTCATGCTTTTGGTTGTGATCAAGTACTATTTGCATTTCTGGCTCTGTTTTTTTTCCACTGAAATTTTCTTCTATTGTTTCCCTGTCTGTAGAATAATGGAACACTTCCAAAACGATGATCTTGAATACGTTGTCGATGACTTTTACGACTTCGATGATTTTGAACATGACGATTCCTTCGCTGGACCTGATCCTCTGCGAGACACCGCTGATTTTGACCCGTACGTTTTTCTGAAGGAAAAATCTTTCACGATTAAGCTTTACTCGATTTAGATTTTAGGACCTCTTTAACCTTCTGTTATATACTTGGAAACAGAATAAGCAAAAAACTGATACATCAGCTATGGAAGCAAGAAATGGAAAGATATACAAGGAATACCTTGGGAGAGGCTTAATTTCACTAGGGATAAGTATCGCGAGTCGAGATTGAAACAGTATATAAACTACGAGAGCCTTTGTGGTTCTAGTGAAAGGATGGAAAAGGTCAGTTTCTGACTTCCTAGCCAAATCTATAGCGCTAATTTTATTTCTGACATGGAATATGATTTTAAAAAAGCTTTTATTAATATTAATCGCCGACTTTGTCTCCACGGTGTGGATTTGTCTCAAAAAAGTTTCCTCTAAATGTTGAATAATCAATTTTGTGTTGACAGGAGTTCTTACAAGTAGAGAAGGGAAATGCCTTCTATGACTTTCAGTTTAACACAAGGCTCGTCAAATCTACAATCGTGCACTTTCAGGTAGAGAATTTGCTGATCACCTTGGGTTATTTTTACTATTGATCTTCTGTTTGCTGTAATTTCGATCTTATGTTAAGCATCACACTGTGTTCTTTGTGTTGACGTTTCTACTATTTATATTTTATGACAGTTCTATTCAAGAGGATTGCTTTATTTTTAAGATGCCATTGTTCAATTCTTTGAACGCATATAAATTTAATTTCATTCTGCAGGCAACTTTTTCTGTCCTTTTTTTGGTTCTTTTTCGTTGTGGTTTTAACGTGCAAAGCGCTCTACTAGATTTGACATCTTTGAGTTTTTTCCCCTTTTTTGTTTATGTGTTAATTTTATATTTATAGGTGTTTTCCTTCTTTCCTAAGGTTTTACATCATCAAAACTTTGGTCTTGGTGGTTCACGTTTTCATCCTTTTCATATTGTTTGATCTTCAATTTATTTGCATATCCCAGCCTCATAGTTTTGCAGGTCCTGTTTTTGTTTCAGAGCATTTTGTCCATGCTATTTTATTTGTCATGGCTCTGTGACTGAACCTTTGTTGGAAGGTATGGAGTTTGCAGCTCCACTACCTTAGTTTTTCACTTCTGTGCTGATTTTTTAAGGATGCTTTAGTTTATAATATGCTATCAGATGTTCAAATTAAAAAAGAAAATTAAGAGCACAATTTTTTGGAGGTACCATCATTATAATGGATATTGATGCTTCATGGCTGTGGTACGACTTTGGGGCTTTTGAAATTTTACTAGCAATTTGTGGCCGTAGAACCTTACATTTGTAGTCATTACAAACATGTACAGATTTATGCACTACGAAGATGTACTAACAGTTCTTTCTTCCATACCTGCACACACCACTGATTCGGCATCATTAACTGTGAGGCTCATATTGATGATGAATTTTCTGAATTACTTCCTCTTTGTCTAGAATTGCCATAGGTTTTACATTTAACTAGATTCATCTTAACAAGGTGCTTAGACATCTAACATCATACTTGTTAAGTATTGGCGTTGATTTATCCCTTTTGCTACCCTTCAGTGTAGGTTTTATTTGCATTTGTTGGTGTTATGATTTTAGCTTTGCATTTGGATATATTGTTTATTTTTTGTTCTTTGTGGGTTAGGAATGTTCTACTTCTGACTGTTAATTATATTGATTTAACCTGTAGCATTCAGGATGCCAATTCTATCTTATTTCAGCCTTCAATGCAGGTTGGGAGTAACTTCTGATCACGCTGGCATGGTAAAGAGGCATTACGTTTATGGTATGACAGGAAGCATTCAAGAGGCTATAACGATTAGTCTAATTTTAGTATAGAAATAATATTTCCCACACTATAAGGGCAAATTAACAGTTCATTTGCATTTCATACTCCTGGATTGTTTGTAAATTATTAGATGCATTTATAGCTATCTAACTGTGTTACTTCATTATTACCTTGTTGGATAATCTGCAAGCGTAATTCAATTTCCATTTACTTGATTTACCATTCTCAGATATCATCTGCATGAGATTCCAATTGAAATGCTATGATTGATTTGCTGTCCCATATTCTTAGATGTTTTCTTCATGTGCATGCTTAAGTTTCCCTTTCTCAGATTTGCTTTTGCACGATCCTTCTGTAATCAAGTTATAGATATCTTACTTCTTGTGAATGGCTTTGTAATTTTCCTTTTCAATTGACTTTTTTACATCTGTAGCAAATGTTTTTATTGGATTGGTATAAATCTTCTGCATTGATGCAGATGCTGTGATCTCATTGTTGTTTTTGTATTTTTGTGTGTTTTTTTTCCCTTAAAAGAAATATAGCAACAGAGGTCTGGAGCTGTAGGTGTTTTCTAAAAACTTCATTTAGGTTATTGAATGGATGTCAGGTTACGTTCTGTTATATATGTTAGAAAGAGTTGGTCCTTGGTAGGCCAGCTTCACTGTGTGGTAATCTGAATGCCTTGCACTTCATTGCATTTGGTATATTGATCAAAGTGAATTCATCTTATATCTCTTGCATGTCATTGTATTGAGTCATATTTTTAAGTTACAGCGGGGAGTCTTAAATCTTTTACCATTATTTTGGTGTAGAGTTCTCATAATTAATGGTGTTGTGTCATACATCTGTAGCTAAAGTGGGATGATGATCACAGAACCACTCTGAATTGTGTGCTCATCTTTCTGTCATTTTATTAGTTCTCCTGTAATTTTCTACTGCTTATATTTTTTTCTTTAATGTGTATTTTATTTCCCATTTCTTTAATGGGTGTTTTGAGGGAAGTGAATTGGGGCTTTGAATTTTTCTATGGAACAAGGTCACTAGAGGATAGGTTAATTGTTTTCACGTAGGATTCACATTTTTCCACCTTTGCAGATTCAAAACATCATAAACTTATTTGATTGCATTCATAGGTCTCTCTTTTTTGATGTAGCAAAAATCTCAGGCATTACCCACTATCTGTGAATTTGTTTTTCCATTTTTTTAATGGATTAAGGGGAGGAGTACGGACTTTTATGTGTCTACACTAGTTTAATGTTTTTGTTTCAGTGTACTTTTCTTGGTACGTGTAAGATTGTTGGTATCGGAGTTTAATTTAGATTTTATCCTGCAGCTTAGGAATCTGTTGTGGGCTACATCGAAGCACGATGTGTACCTGATGCAAAATTATTCAGTAATGCATTGGTCATCACTGCTACGCAAAGGCAAAGAAGTGCTGAATGTAGCTAAGCCAATCGTTCCCAGCGTGGTTAGTTAATATGGCCATGATTCCTTTGACTTCTGCTACTATCCTTGTTCCTCGGGCTCTCAAATCAAGTTTTTTATTTTGATGTTTGTAGGAACGTCGTGGATTGCTATCTCAGCAACACTCCAGGGTGCAGATTAGCACTATGGCAGTTAAAGATAATTTAATGGTGGCTGGTGGCTTTCACGGGGAGCTTATTTGCAAGGTTTGTCTTAGTTGGTTCGACCGATGTCTATCGATATATTTAGTATTTGGCTCATGTTTTGCGTATTCTTCTTCCCTGCTTTTGCAGTATCTAAACCAACCTGCTGTAGCATTCTCCACAAAATTAACTACTGATGATAATGCAATCACTAATGCGGTGGATGTGTATTGCTCTCCTAGGTAAGACATTATATTCTTTGAAACTTTGGACAATTTTTGAAAGGAAACTGAAAATTTTCTGTTTCTACAGCGGTGCAAAGAGAATTATGGCTGCAAATAATGATGCTCAAATCAGAATATTTGATGCTGAAACCTTTTCAAGCCTTAACCGCTTCTCCTTTGAATGGTCTGTGAATGTAAGCACGGAGTCTTTAGAAGTCTTCTATAGAATTCCATTTGTTTTTTTTTTGGATTAAAGTACACAAATGGTCTCTGACGCATTGTTTTATTGAGTTTCACCGTTATTAAAATTTATGAAATAGTCTCTTGTTTATAGGTGTTGTTTTGTTGACTCATTTAACTATTAAAAGTTATAAAATGATCATTTATATGTTTTAAAATCATCATTTTTCTAATGAAAAAATTGATGGTCCTTTGAGTAAGACATTTAACTCTAGACTAAGATATGATAAAAATTTGAAGGTTATTTAATTTTCTTTCTTCCTCGTAGAGGAAAGAAGTTAACTGATCTTAGAATATATTAATAGTTTGATGATCATTTAATAACTTTTGTTTGAGCTTTACATTGAATTTTTTTTGCTGACATATTATATATCAACAGTTAGATGATCATCTAATAACTTTTGTTTGAGCTTTACATTAAACTTTGAATGAGATATATTACAAAATCTGATATTAGAATATATTAATAGTCAGATGATCATTTAATAACTTTTAATAGTTGGGGGAATCAATAAAATAATATATTATAGTCAAATGATTATTTTGTAACTTTTTATAATTGTTGGATCTGATAAGAGGTCGGGATCATTTGTGTACACCTTTTTATTTGTATTTTCATTTGATATTGTACTTGTCACTTCTTTGGTTGTCTTGTGTGGACAGAGTACCTCTGTAAGCCCAGATGGCAAGTTGGTGACAATCCTAGGAGATAGCGCAGAGTGCCTGATTGCCGATGCTAATTCTGGCAAAGTACGTCACTCTTGTTGTGGATTTAAATAGTAGGTGCATTTTGAGTTGTTTATAATGTGTAATATCATTTGTGCAACGCAGGTAAGTGCCACCTTAAAGGGGCATTTGGATTACTCTTTTGCTTCTGCTTGGCACCCTGATGGGAACATTGTTGCTACTGGGAATCAAGACACCACTTGCCGATTGTGGGACATAAGAAACCTCTCCAAGTCCCTTGCTATATTAAAGGGAAGAATGGGAGCAATCAGAGCTCTCAAGTTCACATCGGATGGTCGATTTCTCGCCATGGCTGAGCCAGCAGACTTTGTTCATTTGTTTGACATTGAGTCTGGGTACATCAAGTGCCAAGAAATCGATTTCTTTGGTGAGACTGCTGGAATATCATTCAGTCCAGATACCGAATCGCTCTTCGTTGGCGTTGCTGATCGAACGTATGGCAGCTTGTTAGAGTTCAACCGCAGGCGACATAACCGATATTTGGATTCTATTTTGTAAAATATTAAATGGGCTACTGTCTGTGTGAGACGACTATTGTAAATATCCTAGCGCAGGATTTTGGATAGTTTACAAAATTGCCTGGATGATTGGGTTTGTTTTTATTTATATTCCCTTTTGGGGCAAGAAGAACAAAGTTGGTTTTAAAACTGGCGCAAGGCAGAGATGAATGCAAAATTTGGCAGTCATGTGGGAAGACAAATGCTTTGTATCCGACAGGCGTATGTTCCATTTGTTGTGTATACACCATTTTTTATCATTTGTTTTATGTGCTTTGTTGTTTAGTGTGACTGGAAAAATCGAATTGGAAATTGAATTAGTTACATTTTTATCTTGATGTGGGTTTATAGTGTCTGTATTTGAGATTGCTTTTTTCTTTCGGAGAGATTGTAGACAAACGTGTACATTTGATAAAATGATTATTTGATTCCTGATTGAATAGAATAAATTTCGTAAATTATACAATTTTTTGCATTTAGTTGTGCGAATTTGAAGTTGAATTAGAAAAATATAAACTAGAATCTCTTCGATAATATGATTAAATATTAATTTAAAATAAATAAATTACGATTTTAAAAACTCTTTAAAAGAATCCGTAAAAGGTAAGATCCTGATTTGATAATTTATGTGAGACCTCCGAGTTTTGAAAAAGAATAAAAAACTAAGAATTTAATATTTTTATGTATACATTTTATAAAATCAATTATATATATTTGAAATTTTAAATATTTTTATAATTTTTATTAAGAAGGATAAATTTGTATATTAACAAAATGATTAAAGTTTAAGAAATATTTACTACATCCTGTTATTCAATATTTACTGTTTTGAATTGACTTAATCATCTTTAATTTTATTGATTGTAAATTATCTTCTATTCCCTCATTTTTTAACCCAAAATGTTTTTGAGGATGGCAAAGGAAACGACACGAAATGGACAAAAAATAATTGTGTCGGCAACTACACAGTAATCAATTATTCCTGGTTTATGAATTATCAACTGGACTATATGTTACGGTGAAATGTGTCTTAATTTAATGTTAGGATTGTGACTCCAGATAAACCAATTGGCCCACTTTACAAGTCATGATCAGATTAATATTAAGATTAGTTTAAGTAATCTCGTAGTTTTCCTTTTTTTAAGGTAGACCACTTAACAAGACTTCTCACTTTTTTATCATGCAACTAAGCCTTGCGCTAGGTATTTGGTTGCAACGGAAAGGGATGAACCCTTATTTTTTTTTTTTTGTTAAACTTCTCTTACGTTTTTAAAATATAATTCTCAAATTTATACATGAAATTTAGTTAAATTTGATGTGTATTTATTTACGAAATAATATTAAATTTTTTTAGTTTGATTCAATTTTCAGAAATCACCAAAATCATCATTGGTGAACATCATTTTAACATATTATTATATTTTTATACTATAAAAATAAATTGATAAATTTATTTCGGTAAAATGTGTATAATTAAATCACAGTCAAAGTTTAATATGTACAAGTGAACCAAAATCAAAAGTTTCACGTGTATAATTACACAAATCAAATTTATATCACATTACATATCATATCAAATCAGGGGTGTATCTAGGCCTATTTGGAGAATGTAAGAAAGATGATGAAACTTTTATACTCTCAACAACTTCTTGAGTTGCACATATTTCACAAGGTTAACTTGAGAAGTTCAAGCTAAGACATGGTTTCAAGTTATTTTGTCACTTTGGAGAGAGTGGTTCTATTGACATAAAGGACATGGAGAACAAATTGGTGGCTATAAGGGAAAAATAAATTAATATCATATGAAGGATGTTTTTAATATGGATGAAACATACTTGTTTTGCATGTTATAAGCAGATAATTCTCTTGCAATGAAACAACTTGAAAGAAGAAAACAAAGCAAAGAAAGGCTTACAATTATTATTTGTTGCAATGAGGATGACTTTAAAAAAATCCTTTATGGGTTATTTGAAAGTACGCAAAGCCATGTTGATTAAAAAATGTCAACATGAATAGCTTGAATTGTCAATACCGTTCCAAAACAAGAGTATAGATGACTAATGTGCCTTTTGATTGGTTGGACCATAAAACAAACGGCAGAAGAATTTTGTTGGTGGTAGATAAATGTCCAGCCCATCCAAAAAATATTGAAGGGCTATATAATGTTGAGTTGTATTTTTTGTCACCCAACATGACATTAAAAATTCAACCATGTGATACAGGAGTAATAACAACTTTCAAGATGCAGTACCGTCGGAGATTTTACGGTAAGGTATTAGAAGGCTATGAGCTGGGGAATATGATCTAAAAAAGATTAATGTTTTAGATGTCATTAATCTTGCAGTCTTAGCTTGGATGATAAATATTCTAGAAGAGACAATAAAAAATTATTTTTTGACACTGCAAAATTTATTTGCAGAATGAAGTAGCCTAAAGGAATTTAAATGAAGAAGCTACTGAAGAAGACATTCATGAACTTGATATGATGATTAATGATTTTGGACACCACAACAAAATGGATGTCAATCATGTATTTGATTACTCGGGTGAAAATGATACATGGTTTGATAGAGAAGAGGCAGCTGAGGAAGAACGTTGATCTTCGTAGATGAATCAAACCTAGAAAGCTCTAAACTCAATCAAAGGACTAGAGAGGGTGAATGAAGAATGTGGGAGATAACAAGGTAATTGTATTAGGTCTTTTATTTACTGAGATTATGACAAGGAGAATAGGTTAAGATAATAAAAATAAGGGTAATAGAATTCTAATGAAATAAGGACAAAAAGAAAACAAGGGTAATGAAATAAACTAAAGATAAAACATGCAATAAAGGAATTAAACTTATATTCCATTATAATGGGAGGCAAGGGGTTGTTGTGGATGGGTTTAGATGGATGAATACTTATTAGAAAGATAACGAGATAGGGATAGAAACGAAGAACACATATCAGAATTCTGACAATCGGATTTTCATAAAAAGAGATTTGAAAATTTACCTTCGGTAGGTATGTGCTTAACACAAACCTTAGGGTTTTGGGAATGATGTTGGTGTGATGATAGATAAGGAAGATAATGAGTTATGGAGATTGAAGATAGACGGATATCTCCTACTGAACCATCCTATTCACAATGAAAAGGAGAACTCGGTAATACGACTCTAACTAGCCCTCCTAATCACAATGAGAAGGCAAACCGGAGTGTGAAGACATCTCTCTCAAGAACTTGGAAGAACTTAAAGGAAAAGATGCTTTGAAGGAACAAGGCAATAAGCTCTTGTAAAAACGTACTGACGTATTATTATTCAAAGAAAAGATGATGTGAAACAATGAAGAGAGAGCCTATTTTATATAGGTGAGGAGGAATCCTTGTAAGATCCTAAGTATGTAATAAAAAAATGTCCTAATAGCACTAGAAAGGGCAACATGAATGCTGGTCATTGATGCAGTGCTTGATCCAATGGTTGTGATAAAATCAAGGCTTTTGAATGCATGATGAAATAGCTTGATAGACGGTCCGGATGAGTCTTCTAGAAGATGAAGGGGGAGGAAATGCTTTAGAGAACAAGGACAGTTCGACCATGTAGGGTAGGGTGGAATTGATGGGCTTTCCTAGGGTTTTGTCATTACAAACAATTACCATCTTAGGGAATGATTCTAATAAATAAAGAAAACAACTTAAATAACTAAAATCTAATTAGGAAAAGTGATCATTTCTTTATATTCTAGCACTCGATAATTTACACAAAGGTTTTAGTAATTTAAGGGGGTTTAAAATGAATTTCAGGGCCATCTTCATGAATCTTGGAATTTGGTCATGGGTTATCTTCAACTTGGGTATGGAGGCCCAAGTAGCATTAGGAGGAAGGATGAATGAGTTTCCCTCCTTAAATTCTTCTATCTCTATGTGGTCTTGGATTCCTTTGCTGATGAAAGCCTGAACTGCATTATTAAGCTTTTCTTTTAAACGTTTGGCCCGATTTCTTATAATTGGGTTAGGTGGAAGTGTTAGTCCATCATATTTGGACAAGTGGCATGTGTTGCATGTATCATCTCCTCTCTTTATAAGGATTCATCAACAAATCTAAAACATCAAAAGAAGATACGTCAAAAATATTAAAAGATGCACTCACATCATACTTGTCTGAGAGATCAATGCAGTATGTATTGTCATTGATACGGTCAAGGACTTGGAATGGTCCATCGCCTCGTGGGTCAAGTTTAGATTTATGTTTCTTTGGAAATCTTTATTTCAACATGTGTACCCAAACCCAATATCCTACTTCAAATCTAATGTATTGTCTTAATTTATTGACTCTTTGTGCCACTTCTTCGTATGTTTTCTCCATCCTTTGTTTGGCCTTGGCGTGAAGGTCCTTGACAAAAGATACTTTTTGTTCACCATTTATGCTATTAATATTTTCTAAAGGTAAAGGAACAAGATCCAAAGTAGTTAGTGGGTTAAAGCCATAAACTATCTCGAATGGAAAATAACATGTAGTGGAGTGTATTGATTTGTTGTAAGTAAGCTAAAAAAAAGGTAAACATTCTTCCCAATTACGTGCGTTCTTACCTAAAAAGAACCTAGGATTCGATTGATTACCTCAGTTTGTCCATATGTTAGTGGATGAAAAGTTGTTAAATAAAGAAGTTTTGTACCAATCCTACCCCTACAAAATCTTCTAGAAGTGGCTTATGAACTTTGTGCCACGATCGGACACAATTGTACGCGAAATACCATGAAGTTGAAAAACCTCCCTAAAGAAATGGCCGATGATATGTGTTACGTCATCGATTTTGTGACATAGAATAAAATGTACCATCTTTGAAAACATGCCAACAACCATAAATATACTATATCATCCTAGGTACGCTAGGATACAAATCCATAGATAAATCTATCTAAGGAAAGGAAGAAATCAGAAAGGGAGTATGTAAACCATTATGAGTTACCTTTGATTTGGCTTGCTTGTAGGTAATGCATGAAGAACATACATTTTCTATGATTTTCCTCATGTGTGGCCAAAATAAATTTTCATTTCCATGTCGATAGTTTTTTTAACACCGAAGTTTCCCATTAGTCTTCCTGCATGTGCCTCATGGACTAAGAATTCTCGCAAAGAACCTTACAGAATACAAAACATATTCAATCTAAAAAGAAATTCATCTACAAGATAAAACTTGTTAAAATAAACTTTTGAACAATGGTTGTAAATATAAGAAAAGTCTGGTTTAGAAGAGTAAAGTTCTTTAATGTTTTCAAATCCCATAATAGTTAGCATGCATTTGAGTAATAAGTGTGTACCTTTGAGATAATGCATCAATTACTATATTATCTTTTCCTTGTTTATAGTGAATCACATAAGGGAAAGATTTATGAATTCAACCTATCGAGCATGTCATTTTCTTAACTTACCTTGACTATTTAACACATTTAGTGATCCATGATCTACATGTATGGTAATTTCTTTACGAAGAAGATAATGTTGCTATACTTCGACTGCACGAGCAAGTGCTAGGAGTTCCTTGTCATAGGTAGAGTAGTTGAGTTGTGTACCTTTCAACTTTTCACTAAAGTTACCTTTTAGAAGATCGAAGGCTTGTTGTTTTGAGGTCCCCATATGAATTCAACCAATTTCTTGGTTATCTCAATGAGAGGTGCAATAATGGTGGAGAAGTCTCTAACGAATCGTCGATAAAAACTTGACAAGCCATGGAAGTATCGTACTTCAGTGATAGAAGATGGCGTGGGCCATTCCTAGATTGCTCTCACATTTTCTTCATCTACATGAATACCATGTACCCTTATGATAAAATCTAAAAAGATAAGTTTTTCACTACAAAACACACACTTGTCTAGGTTAGCAAGTAAATTTTCTTTTCAAAAAACTTCAAGAACGAAACGAATGTGCCTGACATGAGATTCAAGAGAAGGTGAGTAAATTCTTTCATAACATGGTTCATTAATCGCATGAATGTACTCGGTGCATTGGTAAGGCTAAAGGGCATGACGAGCCATTCGAAGAGTCCGAACTTCATTTTGAAAGCTATCTTCCACCCATCTCTTCTTTCATTCGAATTTGGTGGTAACCACTTTTCAAATCTATCTTTGTGAAAAATAAAAAACCATGTAGTTCATCCAACGTATCATCAAGGTGTTTAATATGGTGCCTATATTTGATTGTTATTTTATTGATTGGTCTGTAATCTACACATATTTGGAATGTGCCATCTTTCTTTGGCACT